TCCAAGATTTCGTCTTTGTTTCTTTGTTTGGTTTTAGCAGATCTTGTTTAGTTTTCTTAATTCTTTCTTCGAATTTATTGATTTCGCGTTGGATGTTATTTTCTTCTTTTAGTTGTTTAACTTGGTTGTTAATATATTTCCCCACTTGCTTTTTAACTTCCGGATGTTGCAGGGCTGTCATGTCGTAGTTAGGTCTAGACTTTTTCTTTATTGTCTTCAGTCTCACATCCATGACTCCCACTAAAGATATGTGATCAGATTCAATGTCCGCTCCTGGATATGTTTTGACAGATTTAAAACTGTTTCTGAATCTTCTATTTACCAATATATAATCTATCTGGTTTCTAATTACGTTATGGAGTTTATCTGCTGGTGCCTTCCATGTATACAATCTCGTCGGTGGCAGTTTATAAAATGTGTTCAGAACCACTAGCTTGTTATCTTCTGCGAATATTTGTAGTCTCTCCCTTTTTCGTTTCTTTGTCCTAACCCAAAAGGTCCGATTAGAGACGTTTTCCGTTCGGCGCCAAGTTTTGCATTGAAATCATCCATTATGATGCTGACTTCATGTTTAGGTATTCGTTCTAATATATCCTCTATGCTTTGGTAGAAAGTCTCTACTTCCTTGTCGTCTTTATCTGCAGTGGGAGCGGTGGGAGCGTATATTTGTATTATGTTTACATTCACTGGATTGGCTTTTATTTGCAGTAGTATTACTCTGTTGGACACTGGAACAAAATTTAAAATACATCTACTAATTTTTCTCGTTATTATCACACCAACTCTATGCTCTAGTTCTCTATCTAGTGACCCTGAGTAAAATATTTTGTGATCTTTTTGTCAATGCTTCCTATTCCGGGCCATCTCATCTCACTTATTCCCATTATGTCAATGGTCATTCTTTCCATTTCCTGAATGGCATTGTCTATTTTTCCACTCCTTGCCATAGTTTTCAGATTCCATGTGCAAATATTGTGGTTTTGCTGCTTTTTCTTTTTCATAGGTACTCATAACTGCCCCCCCCCCCCCCCCGAGATCTAATTGTGAACTTACTCCGGAATTGTATTTAGTTGTGATCATTACCATATATGATTTTATACTAGGACTCTTCAATGGAATCCTTAATGTAGTGGTTGTCCTCGGCCTTCTACATCCTTATGCCGTTGACCTCTACTGAGGTTCCTTCGCCTTTAGGGCCAGTTTCCCAACCCTCGGACAAAAGAGTGCCCTGTCACTTACCAGCTCATCCGCCCGAAGCCGTTGGCCAGTAAGTGGGGGATTGCTTATACTGGCAATCCTTCGGTGAAATAGGTGAAATAGGGGGATATAGGGAAGAAATGTGGGGTTTCGGTAGGATAATATTGGGGTTTGGACCTGGTTTCCTCTAATTAGGGAATGGAGGAAAACCAGGAGCTCGCGTGGGCAGGGACGCTACCTCCCTGAAGTAAGTCTACCATCTATCGGGATCATAGAGGGGTACCTACCCGCTACCCTGAATTATTTACGGGAGGCTTATGTTCAGCAGTGGAATCAAAACGGCTAATGATGACATCAGTAACAGTAAGACCAAAAATCCCATGAGGCAAAAGAAGCTACTTCCTAACCCGTGCAAAGAAACTTACCCAAATAGTTGTAAGTTAAGCTTTGACGAAAAAGGTAAGAGATATTGTATACTATCTTGTTTGACTAATAGATAGATAGATAGATAGATAGATAGATAGATAGATAGATAGATAGATAGTTTATTTGACTGTAAGTTACAACTAGGTTTACAGCAAGTCAAAACTAAAATTATAAATATTAAATATTACAAAAAATGGAAACAATACATTAAAAATATTTAAAACATTAAAATACTTAAAAAACGTACAATATAGACATATAATTAAAATATTAATAAATTTGGTTATGTTGCAGCTTAGGCATTCACAGATACACCCTCGTAATATTCACCTAATGTATAAGGACACATGGTCACTAGGTACTCTTTGACTTGGTTTTTAAAAGCTGTAGTTGAATTAATGTTTTTAAAATTTTGAGGAAGTTGATTATACAGTAGTAAACCACAGATAGTAGATGACTTCCTGCTTATTTCTAAATGTCGATAGGGTACTACAAACTGTCTCTTATTTCTTGTGTTGTGTGAGTGAATATCACTGTTACATAAAAAAGTTCTTTTATTTTTATGAATTAGTATCAATAATTCCAAAATGTAAATTCCATACACTGTTAATATATTCAAATCTCTAAATAGGTTTTTACAAGACCAACCATACGGAACACCTGCTATACATCTGACAATACGTTTTTGGGCCTTGAAAACGTCCTTTACACTAGAAAGAACCACCCCAGACAGTTATACCGTAACTTATTGTCGATTGTACCTCAGCAAAATAAAAAAGACGAAGGTGTTGCAGACTAAGTATTCTACCCAAATTTCTCAATTGATAACATTTAGAATTGAGTTTTTTACATACATTCCAACAATGAGTCTTAAAAGATAAATGAGAGTCGAAAGTCACTCCTAAAAACTTCACATCACTACAACTCAAAATATCCTCACCATTGATGGAAATACTTAAATCAGGTTTAGTTGAATTTGAACGTGATGTAAATGATAAAAATTTAGTTTTGTGAACATTGAACAGGAGCGACTGATTACTGGACCAATCAGAGAAGGTCTTCAGAGAGTTTGTTATTTTATCTTGTAAAAAATTTATGTCTTTATCGCGATATAGCATTGTTGAGTCATCCGCATAAACTGATACAAATGCATCAGGCATTACATGTGGTAGTTCATTAATATACAAAATAAATAATATAGGGCCCAATATTGAGCCCTGTGGTACTCCATTCTTATTAATAATCGGATCAGACATTGAAATCTTGAAGTTATTTTTCACTTTAACTATTTGGTGCCGGTCTTTCAGATAGGAAACAAACCAACTATGGGCAACTCCCCTAACACCATATCTGTACAATCTATCGAGGAGCACATCGTGTTGCACACAATCAAATGCACGACTGAGATCACAAAAAATGGCAGTTGGATTTTCACTGTTCTCAATTGAGAGTAAGACTTCCTCATAAAAACTGTTAATGGCTGTGGAAGTAGAAAATTTATTTCGAAATCCATGTTGATGCTTTGTGATAATTTGGTTGATATCTAAAAATAATAAAAGTTGTTTTAGCATTGCATATTCAATAATCTTAGATATCACAGATGGAACAGACAATGGTCGAAAATTTGACATTAATTCAGGATCACCTTGTTTTAATACCGGTGAAATGATAGAAGTTTTCAGCATATTGGGAAAAACACCAGTATTGAAAGAAGCATTTATAATGTGAGTCAGTGGTGTCAAAATTTGAGACGCAATTTTCTTAATTACTATACCTGATATTTCATCAAAACCACACGATGCTTTGTTTTTAATTTTATATTTTATTATATCTAAGACATCTTCCTCTGTTACATAAGATAGGAACAAACTACTTTGAACAAAATCATTGGAATGCTGAAAATTTAAATTTGGTTTAATTATTTTACTAATTATATCCACTGGTGCATCTATAAAGTAATCATTAAATTTGTTTGATATTATATCTGAATCTGTAATCCTAGTATCATCTATTTTTAGACAGATATCTTTGTGATTTTTTTGTTTTCCATTAAGTTCATTTATAACAGCCCATGTGGTTTTGTTTTTGTTAGAGGATTTAGAGATTTTGTTAAAATAAAATTGACCCTTTGTGGCCTCAACAAGAACTTTGTGCTGATATTCTTTTATCTATATAGAGTTTTTAGCTCAGGGTAAGTCTTACTCAATATATACAAATCCTTCAGACTATCTGAAGAAGATTTTACTTCTTGGGTGACCCATGTATTTTTTTTGTTTTGGTAATGTTTGGTTTCTCTAATAGGACAACTAATATTGAAATAGAACTGTAATTTATCATTAAAGGTATTATATTTACTCTCAACATCAGTTGCATGATAAACATCTTGCCATGTTTCTTTACTCAAAAGATTGTTGAATGCATCTATAGCGCCTTCATGTGTTACTCTGAAAGTATTTCGAACTGTTGTCATAGTTAGATTAATAAAATTCAATCTTAAAAGGAATATATCGTGATCCGATTCAGTATTTACATTTACAGTACCTACACAATCATCACTATTTGTATATACCTGATCGAAAATATTTCCGCATGTGGAAGTCGACCTTATAGGTGTAAAGTTCCTGGGTGACAAACCATAAGATGCTAGAAGACCGGAAAATCTATGTGAATTATTTAGTGTCATGTAATTTACATTAAAATAGCCTGTTAAAAATATGAATTGATTTGGTTTAAGATTTGAATTTAAAATAAGGTTAAGTTTTTCATAAAATACATCAAATTTACCTTTAGGAGATCTGTAGCAAACTAAAATTGTGTGTTGATTTGAATTATAATGCCACTTCAGCCCACATGAAGTCTGAGTCGCCGACTGAGTCACCAAACGCCAGAATTTATGTTAAGTGGCCAAGTAGAAGGGACCATACTTTCAAATATTATCTACCACTTAATAATGAAAAGGTCAAAGTTTGTCTACAGTTTTTTTTATTAACGTTGGAGGTTTCTTAACAGACTTTACATTAAAAAAAACCATTATACATACTCCTACACCAGATGCGAGAGGAGCAAGGGTTCCTCCTAAAGAGCTCATTGAGTCATTACCAAGTATTTTATCACATTATTGCAGAAATGATTCCACCACGAATTCCCTATATCTTTCCTTGGAGTACAAAAATAAATCTAATATTTTTAGAATCTATAAGATAGGATAGCTTAATATAGAAAAACACCAAGCCAGTTGACGTTTGCGAAGTTCTTTAAATGGCAAATGATATACTGTTCTATTAAATGACTGATTAAACTTTTATCAAAAATATGTAAACGTTATAGATAAAATAGATATGGAGTTAAGTATTTTCGATGCGTATTGATTCAGTAGTCTTGTTGATTTTCAAAGTACACACACCTGTCGCAATTATGTCTACATCAAAAGAAAGAATTTTTCATGTTACGGAAATTTTGTTCCAACAGATGTTAGCAGTCTTCGTACTACTTGTATTTTGGCAGTTATTTATATCAAATAGCCCTGCTAATAACAAAGGTACATGGCATGTTGTACTCTGTGTTATGGGTGTAAGTATATAATTATAGAGCAATTTATTATTATTAATTGGACTATTTTTCATAAAATTATATATTTACTAAATTATATACAGATACAAATCTTTCTTTTTATATATTAGATTACTATGATCTATGATTACGTTAATACTAACCTCTTATACTGTATTAATCGTATTTCAACTTTTTGGTTTGCTATTTCTTTGAGACCTTAAATTGATACTAAATAAGTTTTAAAAGTATCTCATAAAATCAAATGTCCTTCATGGGGGAGAACATAGTTCCCTAATCAAATTAAATTCAGAACAGCGTGGCTTACTTTGTTCCTGGTATCCTCTAGTGACTTATCCTCGACTTTAAAATTGCTAGCTTGGGCCCCAAGTCTCCGCACCTGTCTTTCTCCAATCCGTAGACTTGTTGCTCAAGTGATTTTTCCCTACTTGCTTCCCTAACTAATTAACTGCCCGGATTTCTTGTTTTAATTTTTATAATTTTGTTGGGAGGCTTTCACCGGATTTTTATGTTCTTTTAAGTTCTTTTTGGTCGCGTTTTTTAATGTTTTTTGTTAAACTTTTTTGTAGGTTGTCTTGATGAGGGTCCTGCAGTTGTTATTTGATTCTCTGCCCTTGGGGCCCATATAGTGCGGCTATTTGCAATGTTTGTCGACTTTTAGCTACGAACTGTACTATTAGTATATTTGCTCTTCACTCTAGGTTTTGTTTTCCCTCTAGTAGTTTACTTTGTTTTGATTACTTGTTTTGGGTTCTCTTACTTTTTTGTTTAGTTTGTTTTCACTTTTCTATTGCTCCTTAATTTATTCCACTATTTAGTGTTTAGGCCTCTTGTGTTTCTAACAGTGGAAAGCGCCGTATTTCATGATCTCTCGCAGTATAGGACTAGGGTGGTTGCCGAGTTCTGCGAATTTTATCCTGGCTCTTTTCTTAATTATATCCGTCACCTCGACCTGTTGTAAGTCCCTGTATATAAAGTGTACTGCTACGTATCTGGATATGTTGACAGCTTCTCCTAAGCAGTTGTTGTGAACTATTTGGATCCTCTTCTTTGTGATTTAGAGGTGTGTTCCCATGCGAGAAATGCATATGTAAGTATCGGTAGAATGATACTGCTTATTAATCTCATTTTTGTTTTTGTACTTAGTTTACTTTTCTTACCTGTGAGTCTTCTAAAGGTTGCTTTAGCCATATTGGCTTGTTGCACTGTGGCGTCTACGGGCTTCTTAAAAATTAATGCTTTAACCATGATGACTTCCAAGTATTTAGCTTTGATTTTCCACTCGATGAGATTGTCCTATACAGTAAGTTGTTCCTCTGGTTGTTGGTGTTTCTTTTTGAATAACACCGCTTGCGTTTTGTAGAAGTTTATGGCAATTTTCCATTTTATGCTTCACTGCTCAACTTTATCCAGCGCGATTTTCAGGTTGTTTACTGCTATATCTACATTTAGGTGCTTGGCCGCTATTGTAGTGTCGTCTGCATAAAGGCTTAATAGTCTTGTGTTCTGGGAACATCTGCGGTATATATAGAGTACAGTAGGGGTCACACGACTCCCTGTGGAGCTCCAGCGTTCGGGGCTTCGAGTTCGGACAAGACTTGTCCTATCCAAACTCTGAAGCTCCGATTACTCAAGTAAGAAGAGATTGGTCTCGTCATAGCCAGACCCTGTCTGGCTTACTTTTTAAGTAAGTTTTACTTACGTTAAGAAAAGCTGCTCCTGTGTACTTTTTGTCGTTGAATGAACTGGGATTCTGGAATTATTTTTGTGAAGTGCGTATGTAGAATCTGTTTTTCTATTATTGAAAGTCCTTTTTATGTTCAGCTATAAGTTTGTTGGTAGAACTTTTAAACAAACGTGTAGGAGAACATAAAAGGGCTTTAAATAATAAATAGATTCTACATACTACGCAGTTTACCTTCTAGATTATAATCATTATTTTAATGCCGAATTCCGAATTCTTCATATCCAAAATAAAGGCCTTAAGCTATCTTTATTAGAATATATGGATATTAATAAATTAAAAAATACAGACATAATTCTGAACTTAAGACAAATAGTTCTCTCCTCCTCAATCTCTTCAGTTAAAGACTATGAAGTGTAAATACATACCAAAAATATGATATATAAAATATACATAAAAATATATACACTTAAGACAGGCACTCTTCCGAAACAGCTGTAGTGATAAGATATTATAATAAATTTTGTGTAAGTTTTGAAAAACACAATTTTTAGTGTTTTATTATTATGCTCTTAAAATCATCTACAGATGCCATATCTGTAACAAAATTGTAAAATATCAAAAATACTTTCATACGCCTATTGTACTCATATCAGTACATCTAATTTTAACAACAAATAAATCACGTTAAAATTAGAATTCTGAAAAATTAATTGCTTAAGCCCTTTATTAAACTTATTATAAACTAACGTAAACCATATGATGGTTAAAAAAAGTAAATAAGGGGAAACTTAATAAACAATATGTGTTTACTTCATAAACAACAAATCAAAACTAAAAAACCATCTTAATCATTTAACGAAATCTGTTAAGGTTGTCGCTTTAGGGATGAAATCGAGAAATGATAAATATTGCTAAGTTAAAAAAAGACCTAACCTTGCATGGCGAGCTGCTTAAAATTTTGTTATTCTAGCCTTCTGTGGGGGTCAACAGTAGTGTAAATTTAAAATCACGACTTAATGCAACCGTTGCGTTAGCCGACATCTTGAAATTGAAAATAAAAAAGGAGAACCATTTTTGCTCCTTTTGCGCCATTTTCAACGTTTTGACAAAATTTGGATTTCAATTGGTGCAAATGTATTGGTGCAAAATACAGTCAATATTTTTCCGAGTTAAGGGGAAAAATAATGGAAGGCGAAGCATAAATATCGAATTATATGTGTTATTATTAATGTACGACATGAATGTATACAAACAAAATAAACAGAATTATATTTTATTCGCTCTGTGCGTGACCATGGTAGGGGTACATTGAAACGATGCCAGCGTGCGTAGCGGCGAAATATGACAAAATTGGAATATTGGACAAAATATTTTTACGCATACATTTTATCAAAAATGTTTGCAAATAATGTTGCGTATTTAATTGTGCTAATAATAGCAAAAACAGTGAGTGTAGTTTTTATAGGTTCTCAAAGATTACATATAAATTAGAGAAAAGAAAAAGGTGAATTCGTACTATTAATATGAAAAAGTAAATATCACATAATTTCATTTTTATGCAATTGAAATAGGAAAAATTTAAATAATTTACCTTGAATGATATTTGATAAGGCTTCAAGCTAACTGCAGATGACTTTAGCTTTTATATCATAACTTTTACTATTATTGTTTTTAATTATATGCTCTTTTGCGTGAAAAACTTGATTTGCCAGTACTAGATTTTTCCCTTTCTTTTCCGTTTGGAGTTGAAAAGATATATTATGATGAATTTTGAGAAACCAAGTTTTTAATACTACATTTATTTTGAACATAAACTGAAAAAATATAGTTAAAAAACTAATTTATTAATAATTGTCAATTTCGCATGTATTTAACAATGTCAAACATATGTCATATGTTTAACCTGAAAATTGGGACTCCAAAATTGTCAGATGAAGGCGGTAGGTGTCGCGTCAGTCACGCACGGAGCGATTACATTTTTTTGCTAAAATTAATAGTTTAGGTCGTACGTAGGAATAAGGTTTGTTCAATATCTTGACCATTTTAAACTGTTCTTTGACCATTGCGATTTCCTACAATATTTTCCAAGTTATTGAAGAAAATAGTGGAAATGGGAGTGAAGCATAATTAATAAATTATTTAGTTTCTTAGTAACTTTACGACATGAATGCATATATACAAAAATGAAGAAAATTATATTTTATAATATTTTGATCTCTTGCATTTTTTTTTATCAAAAACAATATTTCAGATCGTGCGTATGCGGTAAAGACGTGAGCGTAAGATCTTAAATATAGTGGTTTTATAAAGGTTGTTTTTCTACCTAGATTGTAGATTTCCTAAAATTTCTAATTTGAATTTTTTTTTGTGCAGTCGATATTTTCCGACTGAAGGGGGAAAATAGTGGCTAAGTATAATTATTGGATAATCTCGTTTATTATGAACTTTCCGACATCAATATATCATGAATAAATCAAAAATGGAGAGAATTATATTTTTATACAATTTTGAAATTTCAAATTTTTTTTTGAAGTCAATGTTTAAGGTCTATGCCTAAAAAAACGAACCATAGGTATTGATTTTAGCAAAAATGAAACAAATAAAAATTGTATAAAATGTAACTCTCTTCATTTTTGTTCATGTACATTCATGTCGTTAAGTTAATAATAAACAAGATAATTTGATAATTATTAGATAATTATCATACTCCTCCCTTCCACTATTTTTGCCTTAACTCGGAAAATATCGACCGCACGAAAAATTTTTAAAAAAGAAATTGTAGGAAATCGCAGTTAGAACAATTTCAGTTCTTACCATTACCATTTTTGTCGAAAAGTCTGCTTCAAAATCAAGTAACGACGTAACTACGAAATTTAGTCGCTATTTTAAATTTACACGAATATTTACTAAATTAATTACTATTAAACTGGGAATAAGCCACAATTAAAGATAAAAATACGTTTATTGACGTTTCAATTTCCACTTCGGAAATCGTTCTCAAAATACTTATTATTTTGAGAACGATTTCCGAAGTGGAAATTGAAACGTCAATAAACGTATTTTTATCTTTAATTGTGGCTTATTCCCAGTTTAATAGTAATTAATTCACAATGCCACAAGAAAATAGCTTTAGAACAATACGAATATTTACCTCCTACTAAAGGTAAAATAATAAAATTTGGGGCAGCTTGTTTTTTTTATGCACAGATCTTCATTGCAATGCTCATTTTAATGATCTATGATGGCTAATCGCATTCTTATATATGTCATCCACACTATACAGAAACAATTGTTTGGTCAATGTACTGTCAAT